CCCGACACTCCCCCCACGTGTTCTTCACATAGTTAATTCATGTATTTACTTTTAATAAGTGTAGTGAAAAAAAACGATTCTTACTTTCAAAGGAGAGAAAAAGAATCGAATTTCATTTCTGCTCTGTGTTTATTTTACATGAAACGTTTTCTTGTGTTTTATTACATATATTAGAAAAACGTCTCGGTGACAAAAAAAACAGAATGAATTTTGAATTGTTACCAAACGAAATTTTACTGGATGTTTTTCATTATTTCAATGGTATTGATCTTCTTCGAGCATTTTATGGCCTTAATACTAGATTCAATATTCTTCTTTATAATCAATTTCAAAATTATTGTTTCAAATTCGATGCTGTGTCAAAGCGTGATTTCGATATGATGTGTCAACAACATTTGCCATTCATTGCTCATCGAATTATTTCTCTTTATCTTTCCGACAATGATGAAACTCCAGAACAAATTAATCTCTTTCTTTCTTATACATCATCATTCAATCAATTTACTCAATTACGATCACTTTCAGTCAAAGACTTTCGATCATATGAAACATTAATAAAAATTATAGATGAATGTCATCATCTTTCTAATCTGACTCATTTATCAGTCGACTCACGCGTTTTCCGAAACCATCAAGCAAATTTTCAGTTATTTATCAACAATATTTGGAATTTACCTAAACTTATTTATTTCAATGTCGCTACTACTTTTACGAGATCAAAAATATTTCGAAAACCAAAAACCATTTCCTCATCGCTTCAAAGCGTATCAATACGTATCTATCACTTTCAATTAAATGAGATAAATCGATTATTTAAATGTACACCCCATCTTAGCCGTCTCTATGTTGATCTTGACTGTTTTATCGATGATGACTATACACCATCTACTTTTTCAACATTAACTGATTTGAGTTTACGTGTATATAATGTTTCTAATATTGCAATAATGAAATTTCTCCAAAATACACCTAATTTATGTCGTTTGAATATCAATTTAGAAGCAAGATTAATAGATGGACATCAATGGAAACAAATCATTTGTAACTATTTACCTAAACTTAAAGTATTTAGACTTAAGATGAAAGAGAGCCCAATTTACAAACAAAATATAGAAGAACGTACCGATGAATTAATTAATTCATTTCGAAATTCATTTTGGATCAATGAACATCAATGGCTTGTTCGATGTTTTATACAAAAAGGAACTATTTATCTTCATACTTTATCTGAAATATTTTCATACTCTAAGAATAGATTTCCTCACTCATTGAAATCGAATGATCTACATTATGATCATCAAGAATTTTATAATAAAATAACTACCATCTATGATGAGAGATTGTTTCGTCAACCGGTACCATCGCATATTCGTTTGGCTAATATTAAAGAGCTTCATATAGAACTTCCAATCAATGATCAGTTTTGGTCAATTGTTCCAAATTTGAATCAACTGAACTCACTCAGAGTATTATCTTTTGCTGATAATTTTCAGTCTCAAATGCAAGCTTTACTTGATCGTGCACCTAACCTTGATTCTTTAGGTATTTGTCAAAATGCATTATTACCTTTACAAATATCATTATTTCAATATACAAATGCGTCAATTCGTCGACTTTATTTACGAGACTGTAATTATTTTAATGAAGACGAATGCATTAGATTGTGTCATTCACCATTAGGTATTCAATGTGAAGTTGTTTTTATTCGAGTTAACAATCGTGAATGTATAACTTATCTTGTCAAAAATATGAAAAATCTTCGATCATTAGGAATTCAATGTGAAGATGAAAAGAATCATAAACAATTATCACTAGATGAGAACGATAATGATAAATATGTTGATGAAAAAATGGAAAATGAAGATGAAGTTGTCAAATGGTTAAAAGATCATTTACCATCAACGTGTTTAGTTTTTAGAGTTCCACATTACTTTAGAGATATTTTAATATGGATTTGATAAAACAAAAGTGAATCTATCAATTACTTCCCAAACATAGATTATTGTGATTGATATCATTCAAGAAGATGTCTTTTTATTATTAAACAAAATTTTGCTTCATAAAAATAAAATTAATCAAACATAACTAAGCTGAAATATTATCTCTCTCTCCAATAATACATATTAGTTATTTATGATAAGTTTTTCTAGAATTTGCGATTAAGATTTTTGAAAAAACGAAATATTGTGTAATGTAAAAGTTTCTAGATCTTAATTTTCAGAGACGTATTAGAATCGCCAATTAAATAACTATAATTGGTGCAATATCGACTTTACTAACTTGAACCAGTATACAATGACTTCTTAGAAACGATCATATATCACTCATGGAATCATTTTCAAGGAAAAACAATGCTTTTTCAAAAAAAACGAATTTTTTGTATATCATAACTACCTCAGGAGGCCTCTTGGGAATTCAGTAATATTCGTATAAGTACCTTGGAATACTAATTTTGTGCTCCGAATCAACTTTCTTTCGATTAGTAATCGCATATTGTTTAGAAAATACATTTGAATATTAAAAGCTTTCTGACAAAAAAATTTTTTTAGACAATATATATCGAGGATCTCGATCCAAATTTTGTCGAGAAAATTGTTTTTTTTTCGAAAACTATTTTGAGCTTTATATCATTTGATGCAGTTTACGGCGCTGATTCTGACTATCACCTTAGTTTTTCCGCAAAGTGTGATACGGATTCCTAAAAACGGATTTTCGAGAAGAGAGATCTCGGATTTTCGGGTATCTTGTGAAATAGCCAGAAAAGGTTTCATGAGTTTTTGCTCTTATCACAAGTAATGTCCATTTCAGAGATAAATGGCTATGAGTATTTTTCGAATAACTTTTGATAGAAACGAGATAGAGATCTGCGGTTTTCACCGTTGGAAAGAGCAGGTGAAAATGCATCGAACCATATGCAGAAAGACTTTTCTAATGATTCTTCTAAAGGTTTTATTTAACACTTCAAAAAAGCAGCATGCCTCTGATGATTGAGATATTAATTTACTAATTTTTATGAGGGTACTAAAATCGTCAAATCAAGAGCTACAAAAAGTATGGAAGGCCTTATTCCTAACTACTATTAATAAGATATTTCAGTCATTGGAGTGTAATTCACCATCCAGCTTTTCAACAAAATAGTCGAAAAATGGAGGGTTTTTGTGGTATGTCGTTGGGAAAATAACTTTTTTCAACGTAGGAGAAAAAACGCAATTCCTTGAAAACGTTTGACTAAAAGCATCAGAAAAGCCGTTAGAAAGGGTGTGGGTGTGGGTGGGTGTGGGTGTGGGTGGTATGGGTGTGGGTGGTGTGGGTGGGTGTGGGAGTGGGTGTGTGGGTGTGTGTGGGTGGCTGGGTGTGGATGTGGGCGTGGGTATATGATTGTATTCACTTAAACTCTAACCCACACGCACATCAATTTCAGTACTTATCGAAACACGTGTCTTGCGAGCTTTTGTGATTGATTTTTATAATCATTCAATATCATATATATACATATGCACACCAAACACCCACACCCACACCCTTTTCTAAGATTGTAAATATAAGAAATCGCTAAGACAACTCTGTTTTCATACAATAAAAAATGTTCTTTCTTGTACTATAGAACGAAGTCTGTTTCAATCAAGTACTGCAATTGCATAATTAATTTCTTCAAATTAGGTTGCTAAAGATCGAAATTTAGTTTATCTCAATGGTGTCATTCCAAAAAAATTCAAAAATTTGATTGTAGGCTTCCAAGCACTGCGTCCCGATTTTCTTCTTAAAACAAAACACAGACATAAGCGAAAAAGATTCATTTTTATTCGACTTCTACGAATTTTTCTAAACGTCCAAAATTGTTCATATCTAACAAAGGTTTTTTGGAAATTTCATTAAGAAAAACAAATTATCTTTTTGTAGTTCA